TTGCGAAATTGTCTGGTTTAAAACAACAACTTGTATTTCCCAACAGGAAAATTGTGCAACATGACGTTGCATTTGTTTCTTGGTGCCTTCCTGTGTTGGTTTTATTCATTAATGCTGACAAAGGCCTTTTCTGTTTCTTCTGAAACAGGCTGATGAAGGAAAACACATATGGACAGTTAATGGTTTGTGCTACCTGCTCCCGTTTATCTGATATTTCATCATTGCTTATGTCAAAAATGTACCCAGTCAGTGTTGGTTAATTGGGTTTACCTAATCATTTTTTCTTTTTTCTTATTAATTACTGAGTGATTTCAGGTAATGAACAGGAAAGGTCTGGTTTGATTATTACATTTGTACAGTTCTGGTTTAAAGAGAGGACGCTCACTCTGTATGTTTCTTTGTTTTGTATGTTATTGGTCACATCTGCACTGTGTCTGTTGATCAGAGGGTGTCAATTGAGGAAGTGTGGTAGATGTGAGAGGATGTCAGGTGTGGCAGAGAAGTGTGTGAGCGGTAGTGCAGGATGTGTACGAGAACAGAGAGACAGCGGTGAGGTGTGCAGTAGGAGTTATAGATTGGTTTATGGTGGAAGTGGGATTACGTCAGCGATCAGCTTTGAGCTCCATGTTGTTTGCATTGAAGATGAACAAGCGTCCGGCAGGAGTCCCCATGACGTTTGCAGATGATACTGTGGTCTGTAGTGGGAGTAGGGAGCAGGTGGTAGAGAGCCTGGAGAAAAGAGGAATAAAAGTTTGTAGAAGCAAGACAAAGCATGAGTTTGCATGAAAGAGAGAAAGTGTCACATTGAAAGGGTCAAAATCTTGTGGATGTGTTTTAAGTACCTGGGGTCAGCCATCCAAATTAACGGTTGGCACAAACGAAAGTGAGGAAGAGAGTGCAGGTGAGGCGGAGTGGATGGAGACGAGTGTATCAGAGGGAGAGCTGCAAGAGTGAAAGGGAAGGTTTGTAAGGAATGAGACCTGCTGTGATGTATGGTTTGGTGCTATCAAAGACAGAAGGCAGAGCTGGAAGGGGCAAGTAGGAAAATATTACAATGGTTTTTTGGGAGTGACAAAAATGGACCGGATTAAAAATGAGGACATCAGAAAGACAGCTCAAAGTTGCGCAAGGTTGGAGACAAGTTTAAATCCGAAAGGCTTTGGTGGTTTGGACATGTACAAACGAAGAACAGTGGATGCAATGGATGAGGAGTGTGTGATGTGAAAAGAGGAAGACTAGGGATGCACGATATTGGATTTTTGGCCGATATCCGATACGTCAATATCTTAAAACTTATTTTGCCTATACCAATTAGGGGTGCACCGATAATTGGCCGACTGATTTATCGGCCCCGACTTCCTTAATTTTGGGAAATCTGCCGATAATTGCATGAGAAACCAATTTTACTGATTTTTTTATTTATTTTAACAATTGTCTGAACTTCATTTATATTTCAGAGCACTACCTCATGGCCAGTTAAAAAAGTTTGTATTGTTTCTAGGATATTGTTCAAGGGTACGTTTTTCAGTAAAATAATATTGGAAAATTGAAGGTGCATTGTGACCTTATAACACCTGACAGTGTCGCTTAGAAAACAAAATCGATATCGGTCAAAATCGGAATTGGCAGTTTCAGACTTTTTAGAAATCGGTGATCGGCCAGAAAACTGCAATCGGTGCACCCCTACTACCAATACTGATATTTTTTTCCCCTAGACCTACTCACAGAGACTACATAGCTTTCTCTGCTGTGGAGTTAAAATACTACATTATTCTGCATGGTCTTTGTCAGTTTGGCCTGCTACCAAATGCAGATGCCACAAAGGAGCTGAAAATGATGCTTGGATTATGTTTAATGCCAAATTTTGTCACTGGGTTGTCATACAAAAACAGCACCTTATATTTTGTACATATATATATATATATGTATATATATATATATATATATATATAGGGTTTATATATATATATATATATATATATAATATATATGTGTGTGTGTGTGTGTGTGTGTATGTATGTATATATGTATATAAAAGCTCCTTTTATATCGGTGAGTTATTTTTATGGCATGGTCGATATACAATATTTAACTTTAACGCAAATATTGGCCGATACCATGCCGATAGTATTGTGCATCCCTAAGGAAGACCACAAAGAAGATTCATGGATGTAGGATGATAGGCAAAGGGTTTGTGTGACAGAGGAGGATGATGGTAGTGTTGGTGGTTTTAGGCACAAACCAAAAACTTGCACCTTAAGCTAATGGGTAACTCTATTGTCCCTAGGTGTCAGGTGAGAGAGTGTGAATGGTCGTTTGTCTCTGTGTCCCTGTGATGGACTTGCAGTCCGTCCAGGGTGTCCCCACCCATGGCACAGAGACTGTTGGGATCTTGTGTCCTGTGGGCACAATGACCCCAAACTCACCCCGTCAAGGCTTTAACCCTGCACTCTCTGAGGAATGTGACCTCAGTGGAGGTTGTCTTGTGTTTGGAAGATGGCAGTGTTTTTTTTTTTTTTTTGTCTATCAAATCATCTGGGCCACTCTTTTCTTGTTGCCTAACTAATCCTGACAGCAGTTTGAGTAGTTGAATGGATTTTCTCTGGGTTGGTTAGCATCAGTGATAAAAGGCAACCATGTAATCAGAGGAATTACTCTATGAAAAATGGTTCAATCAGTTTCTGATAGCTTTTATTGCAATGTTATTTAGTAAAAATGTGTAGAAACTTGTGATTCCATATTTATTTTTTTGGTTTGTTCCAACAGATTACCTTCTTTTTCTTTACCTTAAAATTTTAAGGCTTCTTTCATACCTGCAAACTTGTCGCTTTTCAGCTAAATTTGCCGATTTCAATCAAAAAATATGTCATTTTTGAAAATCATCTAGATCCAAAGAGGGTTTTGGTTTTTTTTTGGGGGGGGGCGGGGGTGTCAGAGGCTTGGTAGGTGGCATAATTTCCCATTCACTGGACTTACATAGCACTACGTAAGTCGCAACCTGTGTTTGCAACAAAGCTCACCCTAGCTCGTAAGTGCTAAGCTAGCACAATTACGTAGTGCTAGCATAGTGCTTTGTAAGTGCCGGCAGTTGTCGACTGGGGAGGGGGAGTGTGTTAGAGAAGCAGAGCACTATATCTGTAGCATCTTAGCTAGCACATCTGTATTGTGTGCTGCAGCGCTAGCTTTGCCCTACGTATTTAAGACACAAGTTTTTACTATTAGCTAAATGCTCTGATATATTTGGTTTTATGGTTGGCTTGCTGCTGCTGTTGCTTGTTGATTTTTTTGGTTGACACCTATGTGTGTCCTAAATAAATTAGGAGATGTTATATGTCTTTTTTACCTGAAGCTTTTGGTCTTTTCCCCTAATTTTTTTCTTGGAGTATACCAGAATGCTTAATTTATACGACGGAGTTTAGGGCCACGCAAAAAAAAAATAATTACATTGCCACGCTAAGAAAAATTTTTTCTAAAGCCATAAAATGATGAGAATAAAGTCGTAGAATTATGAGAATAAAGTCGTATTACGGTTCTCGTTTTTTTTTTTTTTTTCACAAGTCAGATCCACAACGCGATCTTTCAATCAATAGAGTAGGCGTGTCAACAAATAACCAATCTGAAGCTAAATACTCCTATATGTGAGTCGCTGGGTCTTTCCAGCCTCTTTCTGGCATATTTATTGAAGACCTCTAACAGCGCTGCACGCACACAGTTTCTCTCACTGAGCGTTTTCAAACGGAAACAAAAACGAAAGTCATGACGTAATGACGTCACGCATATGCATCCCAGAAGCAGCATACAAAAACACAACAGTAGGTGGCAGTATTGGAACACGTTTTGAGTAAGAGTGTCAATAACAATAAAGTTGAGTAAGAGTGTCAATAACAATAAAGTTTAACAAACATTCTTCTTTTTACCACAGTTAAAATGTGGTACAGTCTGCTTTATCGTGTCGGAGTTCATTCTCATTTAGCTTCGAATTGGTCATTTGTTGACACGCCTACTGAATTGATTGACAGGTCGTGTCGTAAATCTGACTCGTGGAGGAAAACAAATGACTGCTGTTTAAAAAAAAGTCTCGTACAGCTTTATTCTCATAATATTAAGACTTTATTCAACTTTATTTTCGTAATTTTATGGTTTTTAATTTTTTTTTTTTTTTTTGCGTTGCAATTTTATTTTTTAAATTTTTAAATTTTTTTATTTTTTTGCGTAGCCCTAAAGCTCCGTCGTAAATTTACATGTTAAAAATTGCAAATCTTCTATGTGTGTGGAGGGGGTGGAGTTCCTGTGTGCCCCCACCCAACCTCCACTACAGGCACTAGGTTTGTCACCTTTCTCATCCCTTGTGAGTTTGCAGGCATGTTCTTTAAAGCCCAGACAAGGAGGCAGAACTTTTAGTACTGATCTTGAGAATGTATGTTGTACCGAGAAAAACTTGCAAATCTAAAAAGTTTGGTTTAATGATGCACATTTTTGTAAACTAAAATAAATTTTAAACTGTGTGACTCATACTTTTTTAAATGAGAGTTCACCCACATTTTTAAATCCAACTTTCTCTCAATCAGCTCTCTGTCTACCGTCTAACATGATGATGTAATTCAAGGAAATAACAGAAGCCAGCCATGTGCAGCTCCTTTCAAGTTCAGTCATTTTATGCTTCGATTTCCACAGAACTGTACACGCGAAGGAATTTAAAAGATTTAATAACTGAACTTAAAACTTCCCTGTCTTGTTTGTCTTCAAAGATAAAAACAGTGTAGTAGGTGGATTTTGTTTTTCATGAGCTGAAAGAGCACACAGATGACCACTTCCATTGTTTAAGAAGAAATACAGCAGAACTGACGTTGTGCTCCCAGTAATCACCCATCATCAGCAGCTCGTGTTTTCATTGATTCATACTGATCTGCCGTCAGCTCTTTAATTTTATTCTGCTGCCAAATAAAAATTATTTTATTATTTTTACTGCCAATAATAACCAGCATCGTTGTCTCTGACAGGTATCTGCATCAAATGTGGGAAAGGTGTATACGGGGCCAGCCAAGCCTGCCAGGCCATGGGGAACCTCTATCACACAAACTGTTTCACCTGCTGCTCTTGTGGTGAGTAGAACCATCAAATAAATGACAGCACAGCAGCAGGCATGTGCTCCGTAAATGTAGACGACATACCCGACCTGAATTCATGTGCGCCAAACATTTTTGGGAGCATCTTTCACGAGCTCGTGTTTCAGGTTACCGATAAGAAATGTTTGATGACGCAGCATGATTGTGCACTTGTAGCACAGTCAGAAGGAAGTGGATGATGTTTTTCTGCTGTCTTTGTGAATCTCACGGTCATTGCGATACATTGTTGCTTCTTCACTTCTGCCTGATGCAATGTATAAATCTACCTTTAAGGCATTTTTATCAAAAGGAACAGGTATCACATGCAGTGAACAACCAGGGGACTACATTGAAATGCTTTACACTTACGGCAGTCTCCGTCTTAAAACGTACCAAAGTAGCTAAAGTTCGAATTCATTCATGCATGACAAGAAATTATTCATCTGCACAGTTTTTAAAGGCCTGTAGTAGGCCTGTCACAATAACAAATTTTGCTGGGCGATTAATTGTCTCAGAAATTATTGCGATAAACGATAATATTGTTTGAAATTTGACAATAGTAATTATTGTCAAATTTAAGAAGAAATGTTGGTTTGTTTTGTGTGTAGTACATTTTTTGACCACTGGATGGCAGTATTCATTCAACCTTTATTTAGGCAGGTTAATCCCATTGAGCCTCGAGGACTCATTTACAAGAGAGACCTGATTTTAACAAAGAATGATGACCACAGTGGATAACAACAACAACAATAGCAATAGACAATCATAAAAGAGGCATACAGATTTTTTTTTTTTTTTTTTTTACAAATTAAAATAAGATGGCAGACAAAGTAGCAAAAACAGTTAGATTATAAGGCGAATGTAGAAAACTAAAAATAGGAACATGTCTAGTATAATATAATAATAATATGTCTAGTGTAAGACAGTTTGAACTGATGGATGGATAGTGAGGGAGCGAGCAGCATGTCTCTAAGAAAAATGGGATGGAGGCCTCTTGACGTGACATGGGCTGTCTCTCCTTTTTTTCCGGTTCTGAAAATGGCTGACGCTCGGTGTGGTTTGAGCTCTTTAGCATAGCATTTGTCATACAAAGCTTTTAATGATTTTTTTTAAAATCCGTAAACCAGTTCTCAGCTTCTTTTTGCAGAGAAAAACTTTTTACACAAAGGCACGGGTTTCATCCGTGAATTTTGGAGCTTCAACAAGACGAAGGTTTTTCCCTGAGGTCGGCCTGTTAATTTAGCTCGTAGCTTAGCTTCTCGGCTTAGCTGCTTTTAACGATCCAAAAACGCAATTTTGGACGGTTAAAATGGATTTTAAAGAGAAAGGGAGGGGTCAGTGAAGAACACCGTTGAGCCTTTTGTTGTCCAGTGTCTTCAGTAGAAAGAGAGAGACATGATGAAACAATAAAACTGATAAAAGAAAATGAGGTTGATAATTTTCATTTATCATGTGATCAATTGATTTATTGCTGATTGTGACAGACCTAGATTCAAGGTTCTTTGTTTGTCATATGCACCACATGTGGTACATGTGGTGGAACAAAATTGTGTACACAGGGTCCCAGTTACATCCAACAAAAGTATAAAATGTAAAAGAAAAACAACATTTAAAGCAACACTGTTGCTATTTTAGGAAACCTTGGTGTACCCTTTAACCATAATGCTGCCCATCCCTGTCAAGTTCTGTGGCGTAGGTATGACTTGTCAGTATCTTACCTGCAGGAGACAGCAGTGAGAGGGATCTTGGTTTGGAGATTCGGGGAGTAGCTCTCTTGAAGGAGCTGTAAGCTGAGTCAGAGCCATTTAAGATCAAGATTCCTGATTTTGACATGACTCAACTCATGGGTTGAGTTATTCTTGCAGTTCAAGCTGTCACTATAATACATATTTTTACACCTTGTCACTTTTTAATGAGGCAGTTGTTTACATTGTCACTATTTCAACATCTCTATTTCATGTAGCTGTGTGCACTGAGGCAGCTTAGTGAAATCTTGCTGCTGATTCCTGCTGATTTTGTTCCTCCAGTTTATCCCCCCACTCCCCCCAAAAAAATAAAAATCACCAACTACAAAATGATAAAAATGAGTGATTACAAAAAGACAATAATGTACTCTGTTTTTTTTAGGTACATGAGGATTGGATTATACAGAGGGCTAAATTGTTGGTAGCAGACACCAAACTATTTCTGGCCGATTCAGCTGATCAGAGGTTGGGTATTTTTAGTTGAGAGAGGAAATTTGCTCTTAAATAAATCTGCTTTTGAGCAGCTGTTGCCATTTCTGAAAAATTCCCCTTGATTTTCCACAAAAAACAAAACAACCTCACTTTGACTGCTTTATCGCTGCAGGTGAGATCCTGACAACTAGATTTCACACAGCCCAAGTTCAAACATCGTCCTGGTCTTTGAGGAACCAGAAGTAACCATATTTGGACTAAACGATAAAGCTGTACGCTCGAATGAAAACAAACAGTTCTGAACTAAGCGCTGATCAGGAGCGGATGTAGCTAATGACTTCAGTGAGAAATGAACTAACTCATAATTTAACTGTTTTGATATTTTTAAAGTTACTTAGTAATTTAAAAATATCATTTTCCACATGTTGCTGTCAAAAGCTGTGCTTAAGAACTGCTTCAGTGTTGTTTCATGAAATGTGCTTATGGGGCGGCTGTGGCTGAGTGGTTAGAGGAGTCGTCCTCCAATGCAAGAGTTGGGGGTTTGATTCCACCAGCAGTCACTGCCGAAGTGTTCCTGGGCAAGACACTGAACCCCTCATTGCCTCCTATGTGTGTCCCATGGGTGTATGAATGTGATAAAGCACTGATTAGTCTTTGTACAGATCTAGTAGAGCGCTGTATGAATGGGTAAATGAGGACATAGATTGTAGTGTGAAGCACTTTGAGTATCTTGATACGATAGAAAGACGCTATGTAAGTACAGTCCATTTACACTTACATAGATGCATCTGTCAGTCTCATCTCTCTCTTTGTCTGTTTACCTCATGTCCCTCACTAGGGCTGTAAATCACCAGCTTTACCACGATACAATATTATACTGATTTGTTTGTATGACAATATGATTTTTCTCGATATCACAAAGTCTGTCACGATACGATTTTGATTCTATTCAATTCACAAGTCTGCGATCGATATGTTGTGATATCAAATGCCCATCTCATTTACATATAAATACATTTACAAAAACAATTCAAATATGATTTAACCATTTTATTTCTGTTATTACAGGCACCAGGCATTTAAATAATTAAAATAAATGACCTGTTCAGTATAGTCTCACATTTCTCATGTTTAAGTGCATTTTTTAAACCAGTTAACTTCAAAGTGCCCTGATTACCTTTCAGTTATAAAGAAACAAAAATAGACATTGAGCTTACATAACATGGATATCAATGCTGTGTTTGTTCTTCAGGTGAACGGACAAATTTATTGTTTCCTGAGTATTTTAACTCACACTGGCACCTGTTGCATACGACATGAGTTTTGCCTGTTGAGCCGTTCTTCTGCTGGAATCAAAAACATTTCCACGGAGTTGATTTAAATCCAGCAGGAGAGTGAATTTCATTATCTGTGTTTTCTGCCTCGTCTGCCATGTTGCTGAGGCGGCCGCAGAGCGCAGCCGCGCACGGAAATGGTGACACAGACGTGCCTTGGGAATTTCAAAATAAAAGTGTACTTTAAAGATGACGATATGAATCAATGTTTTTGTTTTGCCACAATATAATTGAATCCTAAATCATTTAATCGATATATTGATTTAAATCAAAGCATCGTTACACCCCTATCCCTCACACACTCCAAGGAAGAGCTTTGCAAAGTAGGCAATGCTGTGCAGATTTCAACCCTTCACACACACCCATTAAGGGACTTAAAAAGCAGGGAAGGGAGAGTGTGGTGATGTTATGCTTAGAGAGCATCACTTTAGCCACCTCTTTTTTTTTAGGAGTCTTTATTAGAATCAACAGCTTGTTTTTAGTGGTGGTATTACAGTTAGAATACAAACATTTGCTGTTTTTTTAAAAAAAAGGAAAAAATATTTCCGTCTGGAATCCACTTTGTAAAATATTAAGAGCATCCCTCCACAGCAGCAGTGAGCTCATAATGCCTCAAAGAGATGAAATGCTGGCATGTTTTGATCTACGAGACAGTAATTAAATATGTTCTTTAGCAGAAAGCACAGTGCAGATTGTGTGCATCTATCGGTGT